GCCACTTGGCAAGTGAAGCCGAGATTGGCCACCTACAAGTTTTGCCAGAGGGTCGGTCGTGTAAGTCGCTCGAAAGTTTTGGCAATTCGGTGGAGTCCAAATTCCACGCGGCGAGTACAACTTTTGTAATGCTAGTGCGACGCAACACAACCAGCCCCTCTGGGTAGGAGAGTGGTCTCGAAAGTGCAAAAGTGCAAGTTGCACTTTTGTCGGTCTCGAAAGTGCAAAAATGCAACTTGCACTTTTGTCAGTCTCGAAACTGCGAAAGTGCAAGTTGCACTTTTGTCAGTCTTGAAAGTGTGAAAGTGCAAGTTGCACTTTTGTCAGTCTCGAAACTGCGAAAATGCAACTTGCACTTTTGTCAATCTCGAAACTGCGAAAATGCAAGTTGCACTTTTGTCAATCTCGAAACTGCGAAAATGCAACTTGCACTTTTGTCAGTCTTGAAAGTGCAAAAGTGCAAGTTGCACTTTTGTCAGTCTCGAAACTGCGAAAATGCAAGTTGCACTTTTGTCAATCTCAAAACTGCAAAAATGCAAGTTGCACTTTTGTCAGTCTCGAAAGTGCAAAAGTGCAAGTTGCACTTTTGTCAGTCTCGAAAGTGCAAAAATGCAACTTGCACTTTTGTCAATCTCGAAAGTGCAAAAATGCAACTTGCACTTTTGTCAATCTCGAAAGTGCAAAAGTGCAAGTTGCACTTTTGTCAGTCTCAAAAGTGCGAAAATGCAACTTGCACTTTTGTCAATCTCAAAAGTGCGAAAGTGCAAGTTGCACTTTTGTCAATCTCGAAACTGCGAAAATGCAACTTGCACTTTTGTCAATCTCGAAACTGCGAAAATGCAAGTTGCACTTTTGTCAATCTCAAAAGTGCGAAAATGCAAGTTGCACTTTTGTCAGTCTCGAAAGTGCAAAAGTGCAAGTTGCACTTTTGTCAATCTCAAAAGTGCGAAAATGCAAGTTGCACTTTTGTCAGTCTCGAAAGTGCAAAAGTGCAAGTTGCACTTTTGTCAATCTCGAAACTGCAAAAATGCAAGTTGCACTTTTGTCAGTCTCAAAAGTGCGAAAATGCAACTTGCACTTTTGTCAGTCTCAAAATTTTGAGGGCTTTTGGTGTATCCCTAACCAAGGCTCACCCTAAGGGGCCACCTTTTGGGCAGTAAGATCCCTGCCGTCTAATGTAGCCGTGATCGCCTCAAGCTGGTTTGTGCGGAAAGATGATAGCTTGAAAGTATTCTTGAGATTTGAAATAAT